GTATTTGTGCCCATTTCAAAGAAAGGTGACCCAATGGAATGCGGAAACCATATAATAATATCTTTGGTATCCCATGCGAGTGAAGTTTTACTAAAAGTAACACAGAAATGTCAGCAAGCATACATTGACAGAGAACTTCTAGAGGTTCAAGCCGGATTCAGAAGAGGACGTGGAATGAGGGATATCACTGCTGTCGTCACATGGACTTGGCTGAAGCAGAGAATATCAGAAAGTTGATTATCTGTGCTTTTTGACTTCGCAAAGGCTTTTGATTGTGTGGATCATGACAAGCTATGAACAACACTGCGAAGTGTAAGTATTCTGGAACACTTAATTGTGCTCAAAGAGGAACCTGTACATAGACCAAGAGGCAGCTGTTCGAACAGAACAGGGGAACACTGAATGGTTTAAAATTAGGAAAGGTGTGCGACAGGGTTGTATTCTTGGTATAGATGAGTGAGTGCCTCCAGTACTGCCTCACTTTGTTGAATGACTTCAATTTGTAGTCCATCAACTCCCAGTGCCTTGTTGTTGGCCAATTCTTATTCCACCTGTATGCAAATAATTTGAGAAGCTGGGTTATATGGAGAAAAATGTGGCATCAAGATTGGAGGAAGAATCATTAACAACCTGCGATATGTAGATGATATAACCTTGCTTGCTGAAAGTGAAGACAACTTTAAATAATTACTGAAGATCAAAGGCCATAGCCTTTAGTATGGATTGTATCTCAATGTAAAGAAAACAAAAATCCTCACCACTGGACCAGTAAATAGCATTCTTATCAATGGAGAAAAGACTGAAGTTGTCAAAGACTTCATTTTCTTGGATCAACCATTAACACTCATGGAAGCAGCAGCCAAGAAATCCAACGACATTATTGCATTAGGCAAATCTGCTGCACAAGACCTTTTTAAAGTGTTGAAGAGCAAAGATGTCAGCTTGAGGACTAAGGTACACATGACACAAGCCATGGTATTTTCAATAACCTCATATACATGCGTAATTTGGACAGTGAATAAGGACGATCGTAGAAGAACTAATGCATTTGAGTTATGGTGTTGGAGGACAATACGGAAATACCTTGGGCTGCCAAAAGAATAAACAAATCTGTGTTGGAAGAAGTACTCTGGCTAGAGTGCTCCTTGAATTTCAGGATGGCCAGACTTTCTTTCATACTTTGGACATATTGTCAGGAGGGACGAGTGAGTGAGAAGGAAATCATGTTTGGTAAGGTGGAGGGACAGAGAAAAAGAGGAAGACCCCCAGCGACATGGACTGGCAAAGTAGCTCCAGTGTAGTAGCAACTGTGAAGTTAGCCCAGGACTGGGCAGTGTTTTTGTTCTATTGTGCACAGAGTCTCTATGAGTCAGTACTGACTTGATGACACCTCTAAGCATAATGGGCCAACCACAATGTACTTACCCTTCTGCACCTTGGCACCATCTTAACAAGAAGTGACTGGGGAAGTTGACAGGTTCCAGGGGGACTCCCAACTGCCGGGCAATTGTCAAATACAGAAGAGACATGCTGATCGGGATCCCGGTTCTGCGGATCAAAACCTAAAGGAGGAAAAAGGGATGTTGGTGTAAGAGATAAACTACTGACTTCCAACAGATGGACCTACCAGGAACCTGTGTTGTATCAGGAACAACCATGCTCAGCTTGGAAACTTCCTCAGCCTAACACCTGACTTGGATCAGTCTTTGTAAACAGCCTTTTACCTCCACCTTCCCCGCCCCACAGTATCTATATATATGGGGAAAATAAAATAGTAATGCTATTAGAGTTCCAGTTCATACATGTTGCTGAGTGCTGTCAAGTTGATTCCAACCCATAGCGACTCTGTATTGGGTTTCCCAAGAGCAGCTGGTGAGACACATGTTTAAATAGGTCTCTGCGATCAGGGGAGGGCTGCAGACAACTCTCAGTAACACACTTGTGTCTTAGTCTCCTTAGGGTATCTTCAAAAAAGGTCCAATTATAACAGCGGCTTCCAAGAGGGCTTGCTGAGCCAGTTCAATTCAAGGCAAAGGTCAGATTGGACTGGCTTTTGGGACATCAAAGGGATAATCATGATAGAGTTTCTCAAAGGACACAGGGGATTTATTACTAAGAACTATCAAGAAAACTGAAGACTGCACTGGTTAGACAAAGGTCAGGGAAGTTGCACCCAGATATTTTTTTCCATCATGACTGTGATAGTCAGGTTCTGAGTCAACTTGATCCAGCCCAGATTACTAATTGTTGGGCAGTTAACTCTATGATGATTGGCTATGAGCAGTCAGTCAATTGAAAGGATATTTCCTTGGGGATGTAGCCTGCTCCCAGTAGAAAGGACATGCAGGAAAGTCTCGAACTCTTCTCTGATGGGTCTGGATGTCATATCTGGGTCATCTTCCAACCTCTGGTTCTTTGAACCTGAGCCAGTGGCCTGTTCTACTGCACATTGGCCTGCTGGGCATATCTGTTGAGGGTGCCTGGAATACTGGATGGATGCCCACTGGAGGGTCCTGCACACCTGTGCCTGTTGCCCCGGCTTGTGTACTCCATGCCTCCAGTACTGCAGCACACCTGCCCAGGTGGTCGCCTGTCACCCTGTCACCAACCCTGCTCCAGCGCCGAGGTCCAGCTCTGTGCCCTGACTTGGGATTCCTGCCTTCTGGGCCCACCTGGTATCTTGGTTTGCCTAGCATGCACTTAGGACTCTCCTAATCTCTACAGTCCTGAGCCATTTCCTTGATATAAACTTCTCTTTTATATATACAAAAACACTGGTTTTATTTTTCTAGAGAGCCCAGCCTAAGACATGTGGTACCAAGAGTGGTTCTAGAGAAACAACATCACAAGGATGAATTTTTAAATTGTTTCTCAAGTCTGACTAAAATTAAAGGCACTGGGAACCACCTCCATTAGTAAAGAGAGTGAGGGTGCTGCTATCCCGTGGCGTGAGGTGGCAATATTAACACCTAAAATATCACTGCTACTAGATCATGTAGTACTGGGGAGCAGTCAAGGTCTGGGTGGTCATGCATACAATACTTTTCTGCAGTCTGTCAGGATGAGAAGTATAGAGAAGCTGGTTGGTTGGTCCTCCTTACAACAACCAAGTGGTAAATGACAGAGATACGCTTAGGACTAAACTGTTATAGCTTAAGTGCCACAGAAAAGACCTCAAGGTTTCCACTTGTGCCCTGAAAGAAAGCCTGATACTGCCGAAAACCAGACTCAGAGTCTGATTGTAAAAGAGGCTGAATTACAAAGCCTGCTTAACTCCCAACAAGGAGTGGTGTCCAAAGCTAAAGTGAAGGCACTGATTGGGAAGAAATAGGATCCTGAAATTCGGGGTGGATACGTTTGGACAGATAATCAAGAAACTGGGGACACAGAGACTGTAGATTCCATTGAGTCTCTCTTGCTAACAGCCCCACCCCACCCATCTGAAGAGATTATTCCATAATTAGTAAAAACATCTCCTCTGTCCACTCTTGATGAGATGAACTCAACTATGGCTGCAGAGATGGGCCTGAGGGACTTCCTGAGGCATCATCGAAGGTAGGCGTCGTGCAAGATAGTGCTGAATGCTCCTAGGAAACAACTCCACCAATGACTGCTCCCAGATCTATAATCAAACTTAAGTCCCAATGAGCCCCAAAAGGTGACCCAGAAGAAGTAAGCTACACTCTGAATGAATCGCTTGACTCTTCTGATATGTATAAACAGACCCCAGGAGAATACATGTGAGAATGGCTATTTAAGGTGTGGGATGATGGTGTGAGGAACACAATGTTGGATCAGTCTGTGTTTAATGACATGGGTCCACTAGCAAAGATTTTTCATCTGGTGTTTCAGCTCGAGAGTTTAGGAGAGGACCTAATAGGTTTATGTGGTCGGTTCACTGAAGCACAGATTGCACAGTGGCCTGCAGTACATCAAGGTGATGTACCAGACCTGTCATGGCCTTCTGTAGAAGAAGGAATCTAAAGACTTTGGGAAACTGGCCTGTTAGAGCAGACTTACCACGGTTTTCGAGAACCCAGTTTAAGACAGTGACAATACACCTGCTCATTCTTTGGAGGGTAGTAGGGCTGTCCTATAGGCATGTTGGGAACCTTACCCTATCCACCCTACAGCCCTGACCTTGCCCCTGCAGACTTCTTTTTTTGTTCCCCAAACTGAAAAGAAAAAAAAAAATTTTTTTCAAAGAAACACGATTGGGTCCTTTGAGGATGTTCTGAAGAGCACAGAGTTCTCTGAGGAAGGGTTAGGGATGGACCCGTGGATTTCAGAAGCGTATAGACTTAGATGGAGGTTATGTTGAGAAAGCCTAGCTTCCCCTTGTGCTATTCTGTCTGATAAACAAAGGCTCCTGAAAGGCTGTAGTGTTATTGGGGCAGTCAAGCTCATTTGCTTGGGTATTGTCAGTGGCCTCTGTCACACAGCAAAGGCAGAAACGCGTAGTTACAATGTAGACTGCATGACCTGCAAAGCTGAAAGTTACTCTCTGGTCTTTACAGATTTAGGTCCCCCTTCAGACCCTGGCAGGAGAAAGATGTGACTGTTGGCTCCCGTAACAGGAACCTATGGGACAGCTCTACTCTGTCCTAGGGGTTGCTCTGAGTCAGAATTGACTCAACAGTAGTGGGTATGGGTTCAGTCTCTGGGTGGTGTAAATGGCTAACGTACGAGGCTGTGAACCCAAAAGTTGGAGGTTTGAATCTACCCAGAGGTTCCTCAGAAGAAATGTGTGGTGATGTACTTCTGAGAAACTAGGCTATGGAAAGCGCTGTGGTGCAGGCTCCACACGTGGGATTGCTGTGAGCTGGCGCCAACCTGACAGCAACTCGTTCAGAAAGCAAGGGTCACTTCTAGGAAGACAGAGTATACACTACAGCCTCAGAGCAAACATGAAGTATAACAAGCAGCAAATGAAAAGTGTCTCAGGAAGACCAGTACACCAGCCAGAGCTGGGCAACACAGCCAGCGAACAATCCTGCCTTGCCTCAGTTTGAAGCCCACAAGATAGAAACCGACAAAACTGGATCAGAGAAATGTCTTAGCTCAAGGGATCTTGCTCAGAGAATCCTCAACAACATGCTCAAAATGGAGACAGAAATGACTGCCGAAGGACATGCAAGTGAAAAAGACACAGAACTTGCCCTCAAGAAATATACATTCATCAGAGAGAGAAGCTTAAAAATAGAGATGTAAAACCTGCCAAAGCCAGACTTAATGCAGAAACCCGTCAGAGAAGAAAACATGACTATTTCCTTTAATAATGATAGAAATGTGGCAGGGCTGCAGAGTCAAAGGCAGAAAAGTTTCCACACCTGGAAAAACAAGGCTATCCTGTGACATTCCGGCTCTCACAGGTTTCATGGATTCATCCAATAGTATTAAGTAGCAATGTGTTTAGCAATTAAAGGGTTAGACTTTACCACAAAGGACCTGCCTTCAAATCAATTTGGACTCACAACGAGCTCACAGGGAAGAGCTGAACTGTTCCATAGGGTTTCCAAGGTTGTGTATCTTTATAGCAGCAGGCTGACAAGACTGACACATTGTTACCTTTCTCTGTAGATGTGAACTGCTGATCTTGTGGCAAATAGCTCAGTGCTTAACCCACAGCACCACCAGTGAGTCTGCACAACAAAAGGCAATCTGAGTCGTTTTTGTTTGGGGGGTGCTTTAGGTCAACAAGCCAGAGGCTATCCTACGCTCTGCGGCTTGCTCCTGGGCCAGAGCAATCTAACTGGGAGAGAACTGTCCTCTGCACTGCCCGTTCGTTACCTATGAAGGTCCCTTTCTTGGATGATCTCTTCTCTCAGCCTCAGGATAATTACCTGGTGCATGTATAAGTTGAGGGCATTGTAGTAATCCATTCGATTCCCCTTGAACTTGAGCTGATCGTAAAGGACGTAGTTGATGGCATCCAACACTTGGCTCTGCAGTTCTATCTCCGTGATCAGGGAGAATCCGCCTGAAACAGAGGTCTACTCTTGAGGACAGAGGTACACGGTGGAGCCACGCCCAGCTCACGACATGCACATACTGGCAGTTCTGACCCACATCAGCCAAGGGGGCTACCCTGGTGACTACAAGAGGACCTGTCTTTTGTATGTATGAAGGGGCTCCAAAAGGTTCCAGGTAAAATTTCATCGTCTTTTAACTCCACTTTCCCAGGAACTTTCTGAAGCCCTTCGTATTATCTAGGGAAGAGACTGTTATCACTAACCACTTTTACATGACAGAATAGGAATGTCACCACAGAATTTTCCAAATTGACCAATTCTTTTTCAAATACAGCTGGATCCTTAAGTCATTCCACACCTGCCTTGAAGGCCAAACTGGGATGGCGACTGTTTATGCTCCGCAGGGTTTTGCAAACGAGCTCTACAATGCTGTCAATCTGGGCCTGGATGTCTTTGAGGCTGATGTCGGAGAGAGGGTTGCAGTACTGGTCAATATACACAGCACCTGAAAAAGAACACACAACAGGAAGCATGGAATAAATATTTGTTCTTGGCTCTTAGCAGTCTATCTCTCTGCTCTAGACATTCTGGGCCACGGCTCTTTCTACCATTCCACTGGGGAAGTCTCCTACTCGGGATGCCAGAACTCCCTGCAAAGGAACCATAATAATTTTCTCAATAAAGGAGCTTCTACTTTACATTTTCTTTTCTTTCTTTTTTTTTAAATAAATGAAAACCTCTCTCAAAAGTCATGGACTCAGAAGCCCTCATGATCCGTGGCATAGTCACATTCTGTTACAAAGAGAAACAAATGCTAGAAAGGAGATCTTTTCAAGCTATGTCCCTCTCCTCATAATTCTTTCAGCTCAAAGCTGAGTTATTTCCAAAAACTAAATGGTATAGCACACGATTTCAAGTTTATGTAGTTGAAATCACGCATTGATGAGGCAGGTCATTTTAACAAATTACACATCTAAGGGTGAGACAGTAATTGGATTTAAGACATAACCCTACACTTTAAGTAAATGAACAGGAAACTGCAGCTAAAGAGATGGATGAAGCACAAGGAGGCCTTTTCTAATGAAACCACTACTTTTCACGTCTTGCCTAATTTTAAACAAGAGACTTGTGGGCAGACGGTTTAAAAAAACAAACTCTGAGTTAAGAGGTCAGTAAGTCACGTGGAACCCTATGGAGCACAGTTTTGCTTTGATACACACAGGGTTGCCATGAACTGGAATCGACTGCACAGTAATGGGTGGAACTGGTAACGGGGAAACTTGGGTTCAAGAGAGCCCAGGAGTCAACCTCTGGTGTTAAACTGTGTCCCTCTACCAACCACCCCCCAAAATATGCGCTAGTGTGTCCGGGCTGAGTATTATGTAATGACCTTTCTTTTTTGACTCTGATGTAATTGTCCTGTGTGCCTGTCATACATCCTGACCGCTATGATGCTGATGAGGCAGGAAGCAGTCTACAGGATGAGCTTGGATCTTAAGTCAGTCTCCATATAGAGGAGATCAAAGGGACTTCATTCCACCAAGAAAGAAGAGTGGGTCTGTCCCTGTGCTGAGAACCTCCTAGATCCAAGGGGAAGACTGATGATGAGGACATTCCCCAGAGTCCACAGAGAGGTGACTGAGAAGTGCTCGGCTAGTGGCTCTGAGGACACCTGGAGCTGTCAGTGAAACTTAACTCAAGAGCTGAGACCTTGCTACCAACTCTGGAGGGTGAGGAGGTGAGGGTGTGAGCCAGGGATACTTGAGGGCACCTGTGAGGCTGGAGGCCTGTCTAGGGCAAACTGAATGATTTGGAGAGTACTGGGAGAGGGAGGGGCCCTGATGGCGCAGTGGTTAAGTGCTTAGCTGTTAATCAAAAGGACCCACACTTTGAACCCACCAGTTGCTCCTAAGGAAAATGTTGTGGCAGACTGCTTTCATAAAGATTGCTGTTGGTAACTGCCAGTGAGTCGGAACTGACCCTGTATAGGGTTTCTAAGGAGAGGCTTGAGTCTGAACTGCCAACCTTGTGGTTCAAACTGACTTTCAGTGCTTTATCCTGCAACTCCATTATGGCCTTGGAAATCCTATAAAGTCACTGAATCGCAACAGACTCAAAAGCAGTGGGTCTGAGTTCTGGTTTTAAAGTGGAGACGCTTGCAGTTGGGGGCAAGACCAGATTATGGGGGCGCTGAAAAGAAGGCTTATCCTACATCATCACACTAGGATTCAGAAAAGAAGGCAGAGATTTGGTGAGTATAGGAACTGAATTGGCCACCCTGCAAGTTTCACAGGGAGTGGTGGGAAACCTGGCTTCACACGGAACGGACCCTCGTGTGTGTATTTCCTGAGAAAGCCACTGCCGGGAGAAGTGGAGACAGGTGGGGCAAGTACAGAAACAGAATGCAGAGTGACCATGAGCAACACCAGGAGAGGGAAGGACAGTGCCTGGAAGGGGCAGACCTTCTGCCCTAGCAAGTTATGGGACGGCTGTGTAACATTCTTGGAGTCAAAAATAGTTAATGACAAAAAAAGTCACATTTTGTTCCTATTGCACTTAGCAGGAACTAAAAATTATTGCCTTTATCTTACCTATCGATTCATCTACTCAACTTGTTCCTACTCACGTCTTATTATGAGCATACACACTGAGGCACAAGAACATTCGGTCCCCATTAAATACGAGCCAAAAAAGGCTAAGAGATTTGCTCAAGGTCACATGGAGACAGAACTGGTCACATTTCTTTCTGGCTTGGAAATGACTTCAACAGAAAAACAAGGATTTAACCTCATTAGCTGAAATATCACTCTCATACTCTGAACTAATAAAAAGATCTTTAGAAAATGCTGTCTAAACCCCAATGAGATGGAGAGACACACCAACTCGGCAGCAACGAGGCCCAGAAGCGCCAACGGTGAGCAAGATGGCATGGGACTGGACGCTTTCTTCTGGCTACATATAACATTGCCTTGAGTTGAAGCCAAATCAACAACTAGTAAAAACAAAAATAAAGATTCTTGACTGTATCTTAATTCAACTCTCAGAAGCCCATGCAGCACAGTTTTTATGCCTCCTTGCTTTCCACTGGGACAGTGTCTTTGAAAAGACGGCTCAGGTACTTAAGAACACAGCGTTGTTTTTGTGTCTGGGAATAGACTCACCTTCAAGATATGATTCATAATCATCAGGCTGCTGAAGAAAAGCCTTGAGGTTATTTAATATTTTCTGTTGTCGTAGGTAATAAAGAATTTTCTTTGCATAGTATTTCCAGGTCAAAGCTTTCCTACAAAAGAAAAACAAACATTAAAAAATCAAGTCAAGCTAAAAGATTAAGAAAGTTTTTAACACCTTTTCATAAAATAAGCACTGAACTGCTAACTGCAAGGTCAGTGGTTCAAAACCACCAGCTGCTCCTTACAGACCCTACACAGGGTTGTTCCATGAGCTGGAAAGAAGGACCTGATGCAAGGTTGGCGGTTCCTCGGAGACTCTACACTGCAGCAGTGCCCTGAAGAGAGACTATTTCAGGAGAAGCAGTACTGGTACCTGGTCATACAGTACCATGTGTGAAACCAACAATCACAAGTTAGGATTTAGCCAGGTTTCATTACTTTTCACTTCACTGAACTCTGGAAATCTGGATATTTTTAAACAACTTGAAGTTTCGTGACAACCCTTCATCAAGCAAGAGTCCTGGCGCCATTTTTCCAACAGTATGTGTTTTTTTAGTGTCTGTCACTTTGATAATTGTCACACTATTGCAAACATTTTCATAATGCTATTGCACACTTAACAGTATAGTGTAAATGTACTTTTTATATGTACTGGGAAACAAAAAAGTATTTGTCTGTCTGACTTTATTCACTGCGATACTTTACTGAGGGCGTGCAAAACCAAACCCTCAACATCGCCTAGGTATGTCTGTATCTGGCTTGAGATTTACCTGCCTGAAACCTCTGCAGTGGCATACCACTTCGAAAACGTTACCCACTGAAAACTATATCAACAGCAAGCAGCAGAATACTGTCTGGTACAACGCTGGAAAGGAATTCCTCAGGTTGGAAGGCACTCAAAATACAGCTGGGGAAGCGCTGACTCCTCAAAGTAAAGCTGACCTTAATAACATTGATGGAACAAATCTTTTGGAGCCTTCATTTGCGGACGTAACATAACTCAAAATGAGGAGAAATAGCTGTAAACATCTATTAATAATAAGAATATGGAATGTACAAAGTATGAATCTAAAAAAATTGGAAGTTGTAAAAAATGGAAAGCATAAAGATCAATATCCTAGGCATTAGTGAACTAAAGAGTCCTGGTGTGGCACAGCAGGATAAGCACTGGGCTGCAAGGTCAGTTTGAACAGCAAGATTAGCAGTTCAAGTCCAGCAGTCATTCCTTGGAAACCCTATACAGGGTTGCTATGCGTCAGAACTGACTCAATGGCACTAACCAGCAACAACAAAAAGTGAGCTGCAATTAACAAGTACTGGCCATTATGAAACAATCATATGGTTTACCATGCCAGAAGTAAAAATTGAAGAGGAGTGACATCACATTTATTGTCAGAAAGCATTTCAAGACCTATCTTGAAGCATAATGCTGTCTGTGATACGGTAATATTCACACACCTAAAAATAAGATGATTTAATAAAACTACTATTTAATATTAAGAACCAACCACTAAAGAATCCTGGTATAGTGCTGTGAGTGAATTCACTGGACTGCAAAATCAGCTGAAATCACAAGGTCGGCGTTTCAAGCTCCCAGATGCTCCTCAGAAACCCTATACAGGGTCGCTATGGGTAGGAACTGACTCAGCAGCACCTAACAGCCACCACCACCACTAAAGTCAATGATGAAAAAATTGAAGAATTCTACTAAATTTTTCAGTATGAAATTGATTAAACATGCAATCAAGATGCATTGATAATCAGTGGTGGTTGGAATGTGAAAGTTGAAAACAGAGAAGAAGGACTGGTAGTTGGAAAATAGAGTCACAGTGATAGATATGATGCTGGAATTACACAACAGACTCTTGCAAGATCTATAACTTATTCACTGAAAATACCTTTTTTCAACAACATAAACTGTGACCTCACCAGACAGTACACAGGAATCAAAATGACTAGATCTGTGGGAAGAGCCCTCGGGTAGTGCTGTAGGATAAGCACTGAACTGCTAATCACCAGCTGCTCTGCAGGAGAAAGATGAAGCTGCTAACACCGACAGCTCTGGAACCTTATACAGGGTTGCCAACAGTTAGAACTGACAAGATAGTAGTGAGAGTGAGTGGGGAGAGACAGTGGAAAAGCTCCGTATCATCAGCTAACACAAGGCCAGGGGGAGACTGTGGAATGGACCATCAACTGCTCACATGCAAGTTCAGGCTGAAGCTGAAGAAAATTGAAACAAGTCCACATGATCCAAACATGACCTTGAGTACATCCCTCCTGAATTTAGTGACTGTCTCAATAACATTTTTATGCATTACACACTAAAGACTGAACACCAGAGGAGTTGTAAGATGACATCAAGAACATCATATAGGAAGAAAGGTCATTAAAAA